CTGGTCGTGATGGCACATTGGCATGCCAATGTAGAACATCCCCATAGAACACCCATCCATGGACCACACATGTAGAACACACATCTCCCATGTCAAGGGGAACGAGATGGGAGCAGCTAACATGATTTCAAATACGCACTGATTCAAATGGATTGATCTGGGAAACTTGGTGGGGTGACACATGCTGGAGTGACACATGCTATCAAAGCAATGGTCCTGAAGTAATACACATGTTATGTCACAAAGGAACTATCAGAGACCAACAACGATCACGCCGACCTAGCCCAGTCCTCCAACCACAATAGCACGGCACCGGCAGCCGCGCGACCCCCCCACCCCCTGGCAGTAGCCTCGGTCGGCTGCAGTCGGTGGCACGTACCCGGCCGTTGGTACCAGTCCTCGCAGACGACGCACTGGATCATCTGGTCGGGAGTGTCGTCCTCCGCATCCGGGTACGGCCGCCTGCACGTGCAGTACAGGCCGGCGTAGTTCTGGTTGTACTTGTTCTCCGGGTTGGTGCCCGTTTTGGCTGTGAGGCGGCAGGTCGTGTCGGGCTGCAGGCCACCGCCGCAGTCGCAGCGGAAGTTTCTACGCCAGGTCATATCAGGGGGGTCAGAGTGCAGAACAATGTGGGCAACGCGGAACCGATCGTGACAAGGCACCAGAAAAGTGCAAGGACTCTACATAGACATCATAGTGGTTTACATTTCACAATGACTAAATTTGTATATTTTGGAGTGCCAAAAGAATGTTCTTGAAATGTACTTCAGCATCCCATTAATTTTGAAACATGACATTTTGATGACAGCCAGTAAATTGGAGGCAGTTTGTGAATATAATGCCAAAAAAAACTCTTGCCAGTGACACATGCTGTACCTGCTAGCTGAGGTACAAGATGCATCACAATTGCCTGGTTGGATTTGATGCAAATATGCAACTTGTCACAACTAATCACAATATCTCATGGCAATCAACATGAGGTGCCAGTGGAAGATGTTTCACCTGGTTGTACCAATGCAATCACCAACCCACCAATGCAGCTTCCATTGAAACAACTGCAAAATGGTTCATTAGCATAGCTGGTTGGTGGCTCAACCCGGCCATGTGGGAGACTGGCAGGTCACACCATCATGTGCACTTACCGTTTGGTGTACAGCTCCACAAGCTCATGTGTCTCATGACAGTGGTAGCTGCAGGCCAGGCAGACACCAGCTGGCTGGTCCTTGCCAGAGCATGTGAGGCAGGCATACAGAGGTTGCCGCTTGACATACCCCTGCAAGGGTTAAGGTTGGCAGTCAAAGAACAGGATGGTCAAGTAGGGGAGCATTAGGTCTGCCCATCCAAAGTTCCTGTGGTGTTGAGCTATGTGGTAAGCAATACCTGTCAGCTGGCATAAAGAAATTAGGCATGGCAGAAGCAGTATGGGTGGATGTCAAGTATGCACTGGATGACAAAGGGGTGCAGAAACCAGTGCGGAAGCAACCCCAGCCAAATCCCAGTTGGCCTGGCATCCAATATGTGACCAAAATGGTCTAATTATGACATCTGTGCCTACAGGTAAAGTTGGGGGATTTGGTAACAAATCTGTTGAATGGTAGATATCTGGTTGCTTTTCACTGGACCTTGGACAAGCCCTATATGGAAAGACAATGGATGCTACCTGGTTGTTCTTACTGGATCTTGGATATGTGCATACAACAATGCATGATCTGAATATGACCATGCAGGTCCACAAAAAAACATTGTTTTTAGGCCACAGAAGCATATTGAATGTTGTGATTAAAAACATCAGCAATTCCACAAAGCAAAAATGGCTTTTTCTAAATGTCTGTGTGCATGTCAATAAAAGATTAGGTTAGCATGACCAGGCTACAGTATCCAGACACTCATTAGCTCAGAGCACAAATTCAAATACATACACATCTCAACAGGGCACATCATGGACCACATATTGCAAAGACCTGGTCATAAGAGCAGTTCTTGTCATCTGTGTTTCCCAGGACAGCAGCTGCATCATCATCAAGGTCTTCTTCTTCTTTCAGGACATCCAGCATAGTAATACTGTCCTCATTTGGTGGAATACTGGACGAGCTTCCACTTGCTCCTTCAGACATGACAGCAAAAATCTGAAGGGAATAGATCAGTGGGGCCAGGGCAAATTACAGATCCTGCAATAATTTTTTATTTTGGCAACAGGCAAGGCAAAACATAATTCCCAGGATCACAATAAGTATGATAGAAATTTATTAATGTGCAGAGAAAATGAAAAATGGTATAAGACAGGTGGGCTCTTAAATTCAAACTTCAAAATTATTAAAATGCAGTGCAGCTCAGATGGATTCATAGTGCATGAAGCAGCTCAGAGCCACCCAACATAAAACCTGAAGTGCACATGTGCAGTTTATATACACATAAGGGTGGACACGTTGCTCACTCACCTGCAAGCCCCGAACAGCAAAACATAAAAGTATGAACTGAGACGGCCGCTGCACCTGGCGGTTCTGCGAGTTTCTAGGCCTGGAGATATGCAGATCTTGCTGGGAACCCAGATCGTCTAATCGTCAAGAGAGTAAAGCACAGCCAATGGGACACGCTATAACAAGTAAACATGCACTATTGAACTTCTCAAAGCCATAAAATCAACATAACAATGACTACAACGGCGAATCCACCCACGCGACGAGTTTCTGACCGAATGGTCCGAAAACGGTATTCATGCCGCAAACGCCGCGCATCCAATCCCGCCAAAAATCCCGCTATTCTCAGGCGGTTTTTGTGCTGCCAAACATTTCTCCATGGAAACGCCCTCTAAATGATATTGTTGTCCGAGGGCGTGTCGACTTTGTTGGCCATTGCGCGCCTCCTAGAAACACTGAAATCAAGCAATGTCCCTCATTCACGTCAGTGTCATGCAACAACAATCGCTTCCATGCATGGATGTCTAAATAATGAGCAGTTGACATGGGCGCAGCCAGAGCTTTGGTGGGGGGGGGGGGGGGGGGGGGGGCGCAGGGTGGCAGAGTCCCTGGTAGTAAGAAATCCGAAAGATCGCCGGATATGATCGGTTGTTTATTGAGGACATGTTTTACTTATATACATATACATACACATATTCACACACACACACAACACACACACACACACACACCACACACACACACCACACACACCACACATTATATATATATATATATATATATATATATATATATATATATATATAATTATATCTATATACTATATGTGATATATATATAAGATATAGATATATATATATATATATTATATATATATATATATTATAGCCCGAAGTTTAAAGTAAATAAACTGACAAAACGTGCGATAGGTTACTTAATGGAATAAATGGAAGCCGCTCTTAATTTTAGGATGGCCCTAGCAAACTATTTTAAACCGACAGAACTCAGAAATATTGTCAGAATGTTTTAACTGCACTATACAGAAATGGCTAAGGATCGGCGCATGGTAGATTGAGGATTGAAATGGGGCAACCATTTGTATCAACATGGTGGCCATGCTTGTCTAGACGTCTTCAACATTCGGCCACAATTGATGAACGTTAAAAATTACATAGCGTGGCTTTAAGCATGCGCACTTGCATATCTTAGATACAAAAACCTCGCCGCCAGGCGTTTGCAATCTGACTAAAGCCGTGCAGCGTCGGCCCCGTGGCTTACATTAGGCTGTCGCCAGGAGCGGAGTCAAAGCCTTAGCAAGGGGGGGGGGGGGCCATAGGGTTGACAGAGGGCCCCTGATAATCAAAGGGCCCCCCCCCCCCCCATAATCGCTGGATATGGTCCACTTGTTACTGAGGACATATTTGTTCTCAGATATATTATTGGCAGCCGGAAGACGCCCGACGGTGGATCGTAATGGCCCTACAGCCCTTGACCGGGAACAATATGTGTCCCTAGCGTTCTTCTCGAGGGACGCCTTACACGGAATAAGGGGTCTCATTCGTGTTGAAAAGAGTGAGTCGAATTGAGTTTAAAATTGAACGAGGGTCATCCGATTTCTAACTGGGAACGTTAATTATTTTTTGCATAATCGATTAGTGAAGCAAATTACATCAAAAGATTTGAGCCCGCGCACCCAAAACCTTGGGCGAAGGGCAGCGATGGTCCGGGTGCAGTTTACGTCAAAGTAAACGGCGTTGGCCAGTGCAAGTAGCATCAGGTGGCGTGCGTTTGTGCGTGCGAGAACGACCATCATAAAACAATCGCTTCGAATGTCTGAAAATATATTCTTACCCTTCAAAGATTAGACAAGGTGCATCATTTTTACAACTCTGAGGTTGTACCCTAAACAGATAAACACAGCAACACGAAAGTAGGGACTCTACCTTTATTCTTCCAATTCCACCACCAGCTTCCAGCAATATTACACACTGCTTGCAAACGCCAACTTGTTTTTATCATCAATTTAAAAACGCCCAGACTAGCTTCTAAATGTACGATTTGATGCTCTGGAGCGTTGACGATGCGTCTTTCAGCTGCGTTATCATTTTCGTCCACCCACTAGCCAAATCTTAGCTTTAGCTGCGGGGCTGAGGCTGCAAGGCCTATGGGGACTGCAACGCCTGGCGTCGAAGTTCAAGATTTCAACAAGATTTCCGAGCGCGCATGTTCAAAAACTACGTCGAGTAGTTTCAATAATCGATTCTGGCTTATTGCTGATCATGTCCAAAAAGTTACTAGGCTTTGCTACTATAAATTGTTGGCCCATTTTCATCATATATGTATATATATATATATATATATATATATATATATATATATATATATATATATCAAGGAAATGCGTGCCCTCATTAACACATGGGGCGTGTCCGGTGATTGGGGGGCCTTTTGCTATCAGGGGGTTCTCAACCCCCGTGACCCTGATTACCAAAGCTGTGGCTGCGCGCCTGCCCGCTGGGCCAATTGCAAACGTTTATTTTAGTCGCGCTATGAGAGGTGCGCCCGGGGGTTGTCATGACGACAATGGTTGAAGACCGCAGGAAAGAAGCGTGGTGCTGTTTAAAAAGCGTCAACAACGTACTTTCGACTCGAAACTAATTACATTTATATCCTTGTTATGTCTTGACGGGTGTTGCAATGGTTAGTTTGGCTAATTGGATCAGAGCCCTTTCGACCAGAAATGATCATTTCAGGGTCATGGGATGAAGAAGAATGAATACGGTGAGGCAGGACCTACATACGCTTGGGGGCCGAACCACCGAGACTTAGCCAGGGCAGAGACTCCTCTGCGGGGGTGTGTACGCTGGGTGTCCATTCGGGGGTCCCCCTCCAGAGGCCTCTCGGCCCACTCTTGGCTGACGCATGTAGCCACCAGTGATCATTTGGCTGTATGCATCAGTGGCATGTAGTCAAATGACCTGAAACTGCCCAAATATGTGTACGCTATTCTGGAAATGGTCATTGCGCAATCAATCATGACCAGGGCATTATGCATTTTTGCAAGGCTTGGAGAGCAATTTTCCGATGATATTTCGATATTTATCTCGTTTGCTTGTGAAAGACCATACCTTGATCCTCGGGATTCGAAAATAAAAAGGGTGGCTTTCCGCTTGAAAAGACATCATAAATGCACCGGAGATTCCCGCGTAACGCACCAAGGACTGGGCGCGCGCCGCACCACCGGCTGCCGGCTAGCCGGCTGACTCCCCCCCCCCCCCCCCCCCCCCACACCCTGTGTACTGCCGGGGCCAGGGTAATGGAGCAGGGAAAGGTGGAGGCGTACTGTGAGGATGATGTCTCTTGTTCATGTAGGGCCAACTCTGAAGTCGGACAAACGTCCAGTGATTGAGCCTTGAGCCAGTGCCTGTTGTGCGGCAGGAGCGCGTCGTCGTATTGACGGTGTCTTGCGACATTGAGACGCTCAAATAACCCCAGTTGTGCCGATTCATGTGTAAAACACAAGACCAAAGCAAGGCAAGTTTTTAAAGAGAGTATGAAAAAGACAAAGTATTAAAACCGCTCAACAGTGGTACCTCTCACCCCCAACAGCTACAACGGCCCTCAGCAGATTCTGCCGTCGTCAGCGGTTGCCGTGGCGGCAGCGGTTGCCGTGGCGGCGGGGGTCGCGACGCATGCCGTTGACGAGGACTCGGTATCCACTCAGAGGGTACCAAGAATGGAAGAGAAAAAGTGTATTGCCGTTGCAAAGCGTT